AAATTTTTAAAATTTTTTAATTTGAAAAATCACTAACATAATATATTTTAATTTTAATTAAAATAAATTTTATCAAAAATCTTTTTTAAATGTAATTATTTTTTTGTAAACGTAAGTAATTTTTTTGTTATATTTGTTTAATTTTATAGTTCTAAATATTTTTTGGTTCAAAAAATATTTAGGGACTTAATCGTTCAAGATATGAATGTTCATTGAGGTTTTTTTCGGACTTTTTTTCATTATTTTACCAATTTAACTAGTTGTACAAATCATAAGAATGTATCCAACAGATTTTAGAAAAGTCCAAAGAGTTATTTAACATGTTTTGGATTGTCCAATGACTTATTTGTTCCAAAAATTGTTCAATGAATTATTTAACATGTTTTAAATTGTCCAATAATTTATTTGTTCTAAAAAATTGTTCAAGGAGTTATTTAACATGTTTTGAAATGTTCAAGGACTTATTTGTTCCAAAAAATTGTCCAAAGATTTAATCATTCCAAATTAAATTTTTCCCTAAAAAAATAGTTTTTAAGAGTTTTTATCAAATACTTTATATTATAATTTAAATAAAAAATTTGAAACTAATCTTGTGTATAAACAAAACATGTTTAAAATAAAACCTTTGTATTTTAAAACCTAAAATTGGTTTTTCAAACCAATTGGAGGTTCAACGCCGGGAAAGAATTTCATACAACGTTTCCTTTATAGTTTATACTACGAAAGGGGAATTGCTGATAGCACCAACGGTCCTACTTTCTAATTGCAATCCTCCATGGTAAGACGGATAATCTTTGCTCATAGTATATTTCGATTTTAGTATATTTGAATCTACTCTCATCGATCAATATTAATTCCTGCCGGTTGTATGCAGGACTTCTCCAAATCAGTAATCCCTGCACACCTCCTCGGCGACCGTGGTTCTAATCTTGTCGTCATCAATCCAGGTCCCTAGCTTGCTAAACCCTAATCCTTACGCAGTTTTTGTAAGATCTTTAGTACTTTTTAAATAATTTATATAGACTGCTACTTCATTTTACACTTGGAGCTTGTCCAAAGTGCTTGGACTTTGTCAAGTAAGTTAAAGGTCGAGTTCAAATCACACTCTTGGTTCTTGTCCAATGGCTCAAAGGCTGCATCAATGGGCGGAATTTTCTTGGGTCTTTGAAAAAAAGTTCGTTCTTAAACTTCAATTTTTGAATTTCTTACTAGAAATTTAGAATGCTGAAGTTGGTGGTGATTTTAGTAAATCGTTTAAGTATTTTGTGTAATTGGATTCACAATAGAATGAAGGAGTTGATAGTTGCGGGTTAGGAGGTGCCAAGTGCACACTAGCATAAGCTAGCTAGAACCCGGGATCATCGGAAGGCGCCATATGGCAGGGGTCAAGGGGGGTCGTGCCCCCTTGCAGATTCCTAAGGGCAGCATCCCAGATGGTGATTATTCATTGATGTTTGGAAACAGTGATGAATGTTCCGTCAGTGGCAGTTGATGCCATCTGATGTCAGTGGCAGCAGGCAACACTTGTCATCAGCAGCGGCTGATGCTGATATATTTTCCTAGTGATGCTGATCGGTGATACCATAACCGGCCAATAATTGGCCGTGATTTCCAGCAATCATTTCCTTTTAATGGGGCATTCTTTCTCGGTTTTGATATACAAACTTTCTCCAGATTTATAGGTTACTATTTCTGCCAAAGTCATTACTGTGAGTTGAAATTATCGAAAAGTATATTTTGTGATACCCAAGCGGATTAGGGCCGAAATATTACTCAAGGAAAGCGATTTCTTATGCGATCTCACATTCTTATCCAAGTGACACTTTGATTTTTCACCGGACCCAATTTCCCCCAACAGAAGTGATATGATTGTATTACTCTATTGGTAGTAAAAATTAATCTACATATATGATACGGGGGTTGGTAAATTCTAAGGCAACCACTTCTCTTTTAAGTGTTTTTTTTCTGTATTTGTGAACTTGAGGGAGTAATAAATGTTAAAAGTTTTTAGTTTTATGAAAATTTGTTTTATTTTTAGGGTCTGCAAATGTGCGAATTGGATTAGCTCAACAGGATGCTCCCTTCAGTATTCCTCATTGCATTGCCCGGCATACCACAGGAGCTAATCAATCACCCAAAAGAAATGTGCAAGATCAGGTACACTTTGTACTTCTTCAGTTCTAAAGTTATTTATACATTTTTAAGTCACAGTTACTTCCTCAGAATGCCAATATGGTCACGCAAACTTTGTTTAATGCTTCTCTAATACGTGTATTTGTGTTTGTTATTTATCTTTTATCATCGTATGATTTGGTCAATTGATACGTTGACACATTAAATCAAACCAAACGAACCCAATATATCCCACTTGAAGGTAGGGTCTCGAGGGTAGGATGCACATAGACCTTTCCTGTGTTCTAAGGATATAGAGGCTATTTCCTTGAAGACCCGTGACTTGCAATTTAAATTTTAATAGGAAATTGTGCTGGATATGTGCAAGAGACAAGCGAAAAAGTAACAAGAGTGTGCAAACAGGCAACATGTAAACAGAAAAGGCAACAAGTATTGTTAACAAAAAGGTAGCTGAGACAAATAGGTGAAAACAATAAAGGAAACACAAAACACATAACTGATAGGTGAAAACAATAAAGGAAACACAAAACACATAACTGGAGGACAAGATCCCCTTTACTGTAACCATCTTATGGCATTGGTAGCCTATTTGTCGGGTCCCTGGCCGGCTGAACCACCCCCCCCCCCCCCCCGGGGTCTATACTAACTACTTGTCCCTATCAAATTTCTACTACCCTAGTCTTGCATGTCCAAGAATCCACGTAAAAGGTTGACTCATTATTTACTCCATATGTTTTCACTTTAAGCCTTTGGTTAATGATATAGTGATATGAAGACCTTTTTGCGAGAACCTTTACATAGCATCATACCACCACTGTAGATAAGAAACCTTAACCACACTACACCGTGACCTATGTAGCTACTTGAAATACTATGCCCCTCAAAATTGCAAAGTGGTGTGCCATCTCACCATCAACCAAACTTCAATTCAATTGCTATTACCCAACTTACATGGTCTTGTTTAAGCTAGGTTAATCTCAGTAGGTCATTGCTTGCTGATTTTATTACCTGGTTCTGATTGCTGGTGCCTCTTTCTCGTTTTGTCGTCATTCATGTGTGTAATTGCACCCATAGTCGCCTCCGCATCAACTGCTCACTCTCACTAGCCTTCACAATTGATCCTTTTGGTGTCGTTTGAGAGATGCTAGACTATTTCTGAAAGTTCTTGGTATTGATTTCTCTACATCATGCATCCTCTAGTAATTGTGCATTTACCTCAATTGTATTCCTTGCAATGTTTTTTAGGCTTTGTTTCACTCGGATGATGACATGCGTATGAGAAACATATGTCTTTTGTGGAGAATGATACTTTGAGATCTTGTTAATATTCCTTCTCGGAAGGATTCTGTTTGACACAAGTGGGTGTTTATATGAGCTTGATCCTTATGGATTTCTAGCTTGACTGAAAGCATGACTGTATAAATCCATTTCTTTTGTCTGTAAGAGAAAAAAGCGCTTATTCCATGAAATAGGAGTATTTGAAAAGATACCTAGGATAAATTAGTTGAGTGCCTAAGATGACATGAATATTGGTTATACTTGTCATACAGTTCATCGCTGGCATTTGTAATAGTTTACATCAAGAATTCAGCATAGTATTAGAGGTTGGGATGTGTAATCTTCTACATGGTAGAAGGGATTTACCTCTTATGCAAAAAGTGATAATTGTAGCCTCCATAAATCAGCAGGCACACTAGATTTAGCACTTAATGAACAATTAATTCTTCATTATTACTATAAAGAAAGCCCACATTTGAATGGTAAACTTTAGATTCAAAATCGTTATGTATCATCATAGTACAAATTGTGTTCCTCCTTTTCCCTAAAATGATACAATTATAAGTTAATGTCTTCTAGAATTAGTGTCAAAGTGCACATCTCTCATGTACAACAAATCCCATGGTCTCGATGTAGTGTTCTCATAGTGGGTCCATCTAGTACACAAGTTCCCTAACTTGTACCCATATGTGTATTCTATATCTAATATGAATCCCTACATATGTTAACCGTTATTGTATTACCTCCACTCAAGCCCAAAGTAATACTTGATTAGGAACATTTAAGAATATAGTTATTCTTAGGGTGTTATCATGTTTGAACGTACATTACATAAGATAAACATGATCTAATTTGTACAATGCCTTTTATAAATAAGTTTCATAAGTCAATGTTCAATATTAAAATCAACACATGATTGACTTTTTCGCATACACTAACAGCTAACCCTCCACAAAGCTAATTCTGCATTGCACCTGTATTAATCTTTCAGCTTACTTTCTTGTTAATTTTGTGAACTTATCAGAACCTTAATTCTCAAGTTACAACAGCTCAACATGTGGAGAGGGAGAAAGCCTATGACATTGTAAGTGATCTGAGTTCTCAGTCTCTGTTTCTGTATCCATGTCATGTGATTGAAGATACTTTTATCTGTTTGTGTAGATTGCATCCTTATTGAAGATACCATTCCTTGACGAAGAGGTGGTAAACAACTCTTACCCACGAAAGGTAGGCAGGTTTACGATGTGATGCTACACGTATCGTGTTATGTTGGTTCTTCTGCTAGTCCTTGTGAACAACTTTTTTTCCTCCTGCGGATTGTGGCATCATTTTCAGTTTTCTCATGAAGAGCATGCATATAGAACTGCAGATTGTTTTCATGTGTGTTTTCTTTTCTTCTTTTCCATTTTCTTGATTATTGTATTATATTCATATCAAACATTCTTGAATTTTTGGAGAGATAAAGATGCAAGAACGTATGGAAAATGTGCTTGTTGAGTCGAATACCTCAAGGATTGATTTTCTCTCTAGTTTCTGAATTCCCTGACTGTTTAAAAGCACGAACCTGGCAGTATTTCTGGCACATCTTTTTATGATTAGCAACAATTTTTCATGGGTAGTACCTTCTTCTCTAGGTACAATGTTTAATGAAGAGGGACCACAAGTTCCCCCCCCCCCCACACGGGGCAGTATTTGATCCAAGAACTGCTTACAATAGGGACAGATTATAGTGATCAGAAGAGACTCAACGCGTTGCATGCAAATGTGGCTCAATTGGGAAACGTAACATAGGAGGCCTTGCTGTTTAATCATTCGCAATTTTACCAAACCAGTATATCCCACTAGGAAGTAGGGACTCTGAGGGGTAGGATTTATGCGACCTTACCTCAATCACTAAGATTGAATGGCTGTTTAAGGCGTGTGCAAACAGACAATTAGATAGGTAATATATAAGGTAATACGAAAATAGGGCCACCAGAATAGCGATTCAATTTTGTACAAGTAGGTAAAACACTATTCGATGGTGTGTGCACGATTCAATGGTGTGCCAAATAAAGACGGCCAACAGTAGCAATTAGCAAAGAGAATGGAAGAACCTTTTAGAGCCTCCACATCAACACTCCCATTCACAAAATGAGAATTACCTTCAACAGTCACCACTTTTACTCCGAGCATCTAATACAACGGCAGAATCCGGTTTAAAAGTTAGCTGAATAGATGCCTCATTCTATGTAGTTGTCCCATCTCTCACCTGGTCAACATTTAAGAAGGGTGTTCTTGTTCTCCACCACCAATGATCCTAATCGATGCTTCCCAATAGTTATCCCATCCCCAGAAAAATTGTATATAGCATATTTGAAGAATGTAGATAAAGGGTAGTAAAAAAATTCGATCAATGATGTTGATTTATGGTGTAACTGGTACTAGTACTTGCCCAAGAATTAACCCATTTGGTTTCATACATACTCCTAAATCTAACCTCAATCCTATTTTTTTTACGATAACGGAATCACAAACAAAAATTTTACGTCAGTGAAAGAATCAACAATTACAAATTAAACAAACAAAAAGCATGGATCACAGTTGAGTTGCAATAGGTAGTTAGATATATTCTAAAATGGGTTATGAATGATAATTAAGATTAAGTATTTAGAAACCACATAACAGATAACTGGGGATATAATTAAGGTCGGTTCTTACCTTTGAGATGGAAACTCTGTGGAAGAAGCTCTGAATTATAAGAGATAAAGCTTAGTCAATTGCAAAATGTTGTTAGAGGAAATGCGTTTTAGAAAATAAAAAGAAAAAGGAAAAAACTCATCACTTCGTATTATCTGGATCCAAAGAACCAGTCAAAATATGATATATTTGTTAAAAACATCGGGGGGGAGAATCAGAAGGAAATGGTGGTTGTGTGCTCTCCTCTCAAATCATTTATAATTTAATGTTTGCCAGTTGAGATGCAAAATGTATTCACTAGACCCACTTTACGCGCACTAGAAAGATAGTAAGTTTTTGTTTCTCATTGCAATTGTCAAAGTTCCATGTGCAATCTTATCTGTGTTCCGTCAGAATTCCACTGACGTGTAAGGTGCACAATGTAGCATTTTCCAGATTATCCTTCTTCTGTACTGTCTAATTAAATCCTATTCTCCCTCGCTGATCAATTTTTATCAACTTGCTTTATTCCCTCTTGAGCTTTTAAATAATCAGACGGGGTCGAGAGGTCATTTCTTGATGCATTTGTGTTATGGTATCCAGACTCTGTTTTCTCTCAGCTGTAGTTCCTTATTCAAGCATTGTTTTCCTAAAATATAGAGTTGTTCTCTAACAAACATCATTTCCCTCTTTCTCCAACGTCATAGCTCTACCTATCTTTTCTAGATGTCAGATATTACTAATAAAGCAAATTAGTTATCTTGTGTTGAAGTTGACCATGAAATTAATTCTTGTCCAGATGGGCCGTGTTGATGTATTATCTCAACAGAATAGTAAGAAAGAGAGTATGCTCGCATGGACTGATGTGTTCCAGAAAAGTTCGAGTTCATCCTTAGCATCAGGTAAATAAATAAGCATGCTACCATCTAGTGATCTCCGTGTGTGCGGTTGTATATGTCTACTAATAACCTTAGTCCACGTTTCATACATACATGCTACTAATTCTGTAACTTCTGTTCAGACTTAAAAAACCATTTTAAACCTTTTCCTGAGAAGGAAAGAAGTTGGACAGTTGGTGCTAATTATATAAAAGGGCTTATGCTGTAATCAAGGTCCTGTTATCAGTCTTGCCTGGCTAGCTTGCATTATATACCCTTACATAAATAATTTTTGTTGTTGTGATCTAGAATTCTATGCATTGATGAGTATAATCTTTTTGGTAACGAAAATTCTTAGTTTCTTCGTTTTGTTATTATTATTTTTGGAGTAAAACTTCTTGCATTTCTTGTTCATAGTGTGGTTCTTAGACTAAGGAGAAAATCCTACTTGATCAACCAAACAATTCACAGGTGGTGCAAAATTTATGTTCTTTTTATTTCTTAGCTTATGTTGCTGACTTGAGCTGCCTCTTAAGATCCTTGATATTTTTGTATATGATAATAGCATGCAACTTGACACTTTCTTGTTTTAAATTCTAGAATGTATCCCTATATATCTTCGTTGAGTAATTGTGCTCAAATTTATCAGAAAGTCCATCACATAAGCATGAAACAAGTGAGTCACCAGACCTGCAGGAAGGTGGGAGTACTGAGAAGCCACAGACAAGTGAATCCAAGTACAGAGAGTACATATGTGGTGAAGAAGCTATGCGAATCTCTCCAACTGAACCGTATTGCTTAAGACGTCCAATACGCAGAGGCCATCTTAATATTTCTCAACATTATTCCACGCAGCAGGTACTTATTGTCATAACTTCTCCATGCTGGACAAGATTTTCAGATGACCCATTTTACGAGAAAGTGCAATCATGAAAAATGGAACTACTCAAGTATGGTTTACCTTTGGCCCAATCAACGATACGACCTATAACGCAAAAATATATTTTTAATAAGCCTCGACCAGATTCTCTAGTTTTTGAAGGTCTCAACATATTGCTTTCTTAAAAGAAATTATTTTCGGTGGTAAATATGTTCTTGAAGGCTCCGAGTAGTAGTAGTAATAAATTTTATCTAGACCCTAGGAAAAATTTAGCTACAATAATTTGAAAAAAAAATATTCAACAAACTATTTACAAGTTGATGTACTCATGTAAACAGTCTTTTTTCTTTTTGTTAGTTATATACAGACTTCGGAAATGTCTTTCCAGTTGCTAGCAGACTATGAAGCTTCTTGACAGCTAGTTTTGTTGTTTTCCAGGTGCTAGAAGACTTGCAAGCCATCTGGGACTGGATATTGGTTGAGAAACTACATATTCCTCACAGTGAGAGAAACATGTATTCTGCACTTATTGTAGTGCCTGAAACATTTGATAATCGAGGTAATTATGTGTTTATATCATTTCAGTGGTCAGGCTTACTTTCTTATTAGAGTGCAATTAATTGAATAATACCAAGAAACTCGTATCTTCTGGACATAATTCACTACATGTTCCTGCTTCCCAAAGTTATTGGACCCTTTGCCCCATAAAGTTTGCAGCATTTCACCTGATATGTAGTTTAATACAAGTACGTGACCATTATGTCTGAAAGTACTCTTGAAGAAGGATCTTATAGATCCGAACCAATACTGTCGATATTAGGTAATATTAGCTTGAAATTTTGCCAAAAAAGGAAATATTGCTATTATTAAGGGACATTGCGCAATGGAAATTGCTTCAACTAGGATCCACTTGATATGTTTTACATATTATTCTTTTTTATTTGGATGACATATACCAATAAGTAAAACTCCATATAATATGTATAAAAATTAATTATTAACAAATTCTGCAAGTCCTCCAGCTCTTCCGCCATCATGGTCATTGTTGTTATTATTGTTATTTTATCAAAATCAGAAATACATTATTTTCAAACAAATAGAAGGTTCTCTATGCAAAAGGAGAAGTTTGTAGGAAGGAGGATCTCAAATTTCCTGAAAGAAGAAACATACAATCAAGTTAAGACAAACAAGGACAAGGGAAAAAAGGCTCAAAATATAAGCATGCTCGATATAGAACTAGCCAATAGTGCTGAGCCGTCCACAAGATTTGTCCTAATCCAGATGTATTGCTATCATGAATAGGAGAGATTGTAGAGTGAGAAACAGTCGAGGTCAGGGAAGTAAATTGCTGGTAAAATGGAAGACCTTTTGTAAGCACTTAGAGGTACCAGAATCGAACTCGTATACACAAAGATAAGCAATGCTGATGTTTTCTTTTTTATGATTATATATTCCTTACATCACTTCCTGTTTGTCTATTTATGGATTATCGTCATTGTTTAAACAAAATGAGCACCTTTTGTAGAAGTAGGATGCAAAACAACTCATTTTATTTTTCATTTTTTCAGAAATTAAGGAAATATTATCTATTGTCTTACGAGATTTGCGGTTCAGCTCAGCAGTAGTCCACCAGGTGAAAGTTCTTTGTTATATTCTTTTACCTTTTACATTTCAAATGTAGATATTGGTTGCCTAAGGAGAGACATGTGTATCGTCAAAGATAATAGCTAGCTTAATAAAAGAGAATGAAGTTTTCTTTGCGGGCATGTACTTTGTGTGACATTGACCGTGTCCCTGAAATCATCTGCCACTAAGACCGATGCTCAATACACCTTACTCTCAAAAAGGGGTGGAAGCACTCCTGCATCCTAGGTCGACTCCAGTATCATTCTTTTCGTCTTATTGTGTATTTTTTTTGCATGTTTCCTTGAAATTTGCATGCAAGTATAATTAAAAAAGTAGCGATATATAAATGTATGATATCATAGATGATAAATTATTGTAATTTGTCAATCAAAGTGGTATACATGATCCTAGTTGCCCGTTGCCCAGTTCATTTTTATTTAATATTTAGAATTATTGTTTTTGGTTCCTGAATAATGTTTTCTGTCACAACTTTATCGTCGTTTGCATCACAAACTGTAACTGCTAAGGCTGATATTTAACATTTAATAAGTTAACTCATTTTGTCATTATCTAATCTTCTCTTTTGTATCACTATTCTACCTTTAACCTTGAAAAAAACTCTGAAGTCATAAAAATCTCAAAGTTGTAGTAGTAGTTAACATAACGACTGACGACATGTAGCCAGCTGTGACACTTTGCCGTAACTGTAAGTAATTCTCAGGCTTTAAGCATGTGCATCCTATTACTTGTTCTATAATTAATCAGGACTTAAACGCAAGACATATTTGTGTTGCGTTCCTCCCGGACTATATACACTACAAAAAGCACTATGGGGCTATCTTGCAATTAGTCTTTGTATTAGCTCATTTTTTCTCTATCTAATAGTAATCTATACCCTATCAATGCAGGAAGGTCTTGCTGCAGTCTTTGGAAATGGATTATCAACAGCATGTGTCGTGAATATTGGTGCTCAGGTCACTTCAGTTATTTGTGTCGAGGTGGTATTGATGTACCTTTTCCTTAAAAAAATTGTCAATTGTTTACAGTTTCAATCATAACTTTTTTGTGCCACTGCATTTGCTCTTTCCAGTGTATATAGCATCACTATTATAAGCATAGCATCCTTGAAAATAAATCATATTTACCAGTGGAAGCATAGACTCCCGACCATTGCTTCATCAACTACTTTCATAGAGTTCCTTTATCTTCTTAAACTCTTACCAATAATGTGTCTTTTGGTTTGGGATCCTAGATACAAGTTTGCCCAACATCATATATCACAACTTACACATCTATTGCCACCAATTGGTATCGCTTATTATGCAACAGCAATGGTATACATCATAACATAGCCTCAGTTATTTCCACTATGATTGAGGAACATATGTTGCCTTAATTCGAAAACAAGATTGCTATTGTATTCAGGAAAAGGATCATAATAAAGCAAAAGAACTTCTTTACCTCTTTCTTTCTGGTGATCTTCAATTATGCATCATGAAGCATTTGACCCTTAATTTATTTATGAGCATCTTGTATTTGTTGTTCTTGTCAGGATGGAGTTGCTCTTCCTCATACACAGATCACCTTACGTTTTGGCGGAGAGGTGTGAATTTCATATTCTGATCTCAACTAGTTATTATAAATAATATATGGGCTAAAGCTTGTAATGTATTATTATATTCAAAAGTATTGGCATGCTCTCTGATTTCTTTAGATAATTGTCTCGGTGTTACCCTTGTTTTCATTGAGAGAGACTTCTAAAATACATATTAGAGACCCAACCAACTAAAGTTTGCAGCCTCATGCAAGAAGCACATCTTCTGCATCATATATCGGGTTAGGTGGAATAGAACTTAACAAGAGCTTATGAATTGTTTTGTTCACTTGGATCACTTAGTATCGTGTAAACTTTAGTAATTATTGTCTCAAATTTGATGTTAACTCGATATGAAGTAAATAGAAATGCATGCTTTAATTTTCAGTACTCCCTTCTACCTAGATTAAGCATCATAATCTCCTTGTTGTCCTACCTGCCAGACCGATTGTTATAAACTTATAATGAGGGGGATCCTATGTGAATTTGGTTAGGATAGTTAAGGGAAGTTTTTTTTCTATTTTGTTTTACCAATACTTGTATATATGCTTCTGGTTTGTATGAATAAAATATATAGAAGAATGAATTATTAGTTCATGTATCAGAGCTTTAGTTACTCTTCTCTACATCTCCATCGTTGCCATTGGCCATCTCATCTTCGCCAGCCATCTCGTCCTCCCCCTCGCCGGTCTCTACATCTCCAGCTAAAATTCGGTTGCCATCCATTTGTGGAACTGGGTAAAACCCTAGCTGCCAATATAAACCCTAGATAGCAGCCCTTGTCACAGCACCTCGCTGTCCCCACATTCATCCACTTCCGAGCCATAATCCCTCATCCATCCACTCCCAAACCCTCTCAGTCTAATATCAGTGCTAGTTCTTCCTCAATAGAACAGAATAGCATATTCTAGGAGGAAGAAGAGATATGGATGTAGAGCCAGTAAGTCGGTGCCAAATATGACAATGAGGAGAGACGCCAGTCTTCATGTTCAGCTTTATTTGTGGGCTATTTTGCATGTGTGTGAGGGTATTGATTATGATTTGGTTTTACATAATGATTTTTTTAGTTCTTTCTGCTGGCCTTCTTTTTGGTTAGATATCAGCTGTTGGACTGGCTAAATAGTAGATACCCTTCTCTCAGGATGTATCAAGATGCCTTCTGTGGACTCAGAGACATCATCAGACATGGCCACCTATTCGCACAGATGCTCTTGCAAAGCCGATAGATTTGCTGATGCTCAACAGACTCAAAGAATCTTACTGCCAGATTTATGTGAGATCATATATTTGCTCTATCATTGATTTGTGATACTATCTATTATGATAAAATAAAAAGTTTCTTCTTTCCAAGTTCACAACATTTGGTGTTTGCTTTGCAATTTTCCATCGTCAAATCTGCTTTAATTCCTTTAGGAAACTTCTTTTGGGCACATGTATGTTTCTTATAGACGTTCAAAAAAGAATTCTGGTGCTTTTATGTTATTATGTGTGCACATTACTCATTCTTGTCAAACTAAAGAGTTCTGTATGCTTGGTTTTGATGTGCAAAAGCTACTTACTTGAACTAGCTCTTTCCTGAGTTAGATTCCAATAAACATTCCTGTCCATAAAGATGGATGTTTTAGGCCTTCTCATGGTGAGGCCTAGTAGAGCTTTATATGTATCTATACTATATTACTATGTTATAGAACATTTGGTAAAAACTCTTAAAAACAACTTATTAAGCATTACATATTTCTTATCAATGCATTATCTCTTAAATTCAAGTTTACAACTTATTATCACACATATACAATTTCTCAAAGCTCCATGTCGGAACTCCATAAAACATACTTATAAACACTTTCAAATACAGGAAAAGTGTTGAGCCCTACTAATACAGTAAAATACTCCATAAATTTCAGATTCTCGTAATGAGGAATTCTTTTACTTTTCCATTCTGAGTTTACAATAAAAGTTTACATCTTGATGCATCGCACAGGTACACAACTAGGTAAATAAGTATATTCTGAAGAAATACTTTGCCTTTTCACTTAGCTTCTTAAGATGCATCCACTGCTTGTTTTAATTACTGTGCACACTCGGATATGGAGCAACCCCTACTTCCAACCTCAATGACCCTCATTGCCACTGTTACGTGCTAGTAATCATGGTATAAGACCAGAAGTAGTATTCACTTGGGGAAATTTGCACACAAAGATGATAAATATAAAGCTACTGTTGGTTCTCTCAACATCCATGTTCATTATATCCTTACATTTTCATCAGATTTTCTTTTTCTTACAGTGACACTTACAATTCCACAGTACATCTTTAAATCAAGATGCTTATAGTTTTTAGCAAAATTATCCGTATCCCTATGCTTTATGACATCTTCAGTTTTGTCATTAGTATATCATTTCAGAAAACCTGTGTTAGTTTTAGCCTTTTTTTTTAATTGGGCTTTTAGATTGGTATGACCATTGCTCTTTATCTTTTTCCCTTGTGCAGGAAGGAGAGGTTGAAGCTGTTGGGGTGGTTCATTCATATGAAGATGGCTTGCCACCTGGATCTCATAAGACGAGGCTAACTGCCCTAAATGTATGGGATATAATCTTAATGTCATATTGATTTGACATGTAGGACTCATATCTACATGCATTTTTCTTTTCTCCTGATCAATTCATGTGTCATATTCGTATGATTCTAATAAACTTTTTGAACTTTTTTATTCATATGATTCTGAATTGTTCTTCTTGTTATGCTTTTCCTGAACGAACTTCAGAATTTAAGGTAACTAACAAAGTTATGGCTCTTAGACGGCATCTAATTCTTAATAATCTAATGAAACAGGTAGCGCCTATGGGTCTTTTCTATCCAACACTTTTGGTTCCAGATGTCTATCCTCCTCCACCTCGTTCATGGTGGGTGCTAATAATCTTATTCTGTGTTTTTAGTAATAAAATAACTTTAAAATTTGAAAATAGCCATCTTTGTCCAATATTTTTGTTGTGTAGGTTCAAAGATTATGAGGATATGCTAGAAGATACTTGGCATATAGACTTTCCCAGGAGAACTGACATATCAGATGGGTTATATCCAGGCATCAGCAATCCACTACAGATGTGGGACAACTATTCTTATCCTTCAAACCAACAGAAGAAAGAAGACAACATTGGCCTTGCAGAAGCCATTACAAAGAGTATCCTGTCAACAGGTATAACACCATTGATTCTGCTATAATGTGTTGGGACTAGTTATATTAGTGCTTATTGTTTGCCTTTATGGAAACAGTCTCTACTCCTTAGGGCAGAAGTAGATCTGCTTACTTTTACCATTCCCAAATTTTACTCCATGTGGGCTTTATTTGGTTCGTTTGGTTTGGTTTGTTAGAGCAACTCTAACAAATCCTCCAAAATGGAGGAGATTTTAGGCTCTTTTTTTGCTCAAATAGCTTCTCCAAAAAGAAGGAAGTAGGAAAGAGATGGAAATTTTTTACAAATTTGGAGAATACTCCAAAATTAATTGGAGGAAGAGAATGACTTTTTTTTCTCTCCAAGAAAAAACTCACCATCCTATGAATAAAGTTAAATGGAGGAAGAGAGATAACGATATTTTTTATATTCTTGAAGATTTTAATAATATAGTTGATGTTGGAGTCTCCAAATGGAGAAACTGTTGAAGTTGAATGCAAGTTTTTTGAAGATTTTGGCTTTTGTGCTTCATTTTTTGAAGAAATTGTGGAGAAACTGTTGATAATGCAATTAACTTTGTTGAAGATTTTGGCTTTTGTGCTTCATTATGGAGAAATTATGGTAAAACTGTTGGAGATGCTCTTATATTGTTCTTCCTTTGCTTTGATTGACAGGGCGTATAGATCTACAAAGAAAGTTGTTTTGTAGCATGCAACTGGTGAATTCTTTGCCTAAGTGTAATTTGAGAGAGATTTTATGCATTAATATAATGAGCTTTGATGAATTGACGCGTTTTAATATTGTAGATTGGTGGAGTCGCTTTGACAACTGGTCTTATTTCTGCCATGGAGGAGAGGTTTGGAATTATTGCTTTCTATTCTCAAACAATAGTACCATAATAGCTCACGTGTAATGTTTAGATTCATTTACATCGAGTTATATTAGAAATAGTCGAGTGCACAATCTGTATAAGAGCTAAATGTTGATGCCTACTATAATCCCCAAAAAGAAGTTGTGTTTGTGGCTCTTTATGCTATCAATGAAGCCAAAAGAAACCATCTTGCAGTTATAACATCAAATTGCTAAAAAAAATCGGTAGAAGATGTCACCAGGATGTATGGTTTAGGGCATAGGGTTTATGTACGGTGGATATTTTTAGACCCGTAAGTAAGAACCAACTATTCATTGATGAATATACCTGAATAGTCATGAATATTATTCGTTATAAATATCATATGCTTTTTTTGTTATTCATTATGAATAGTTGGTTCTCACGGTTCTCAAAATATTTGTGGTTCTAAAATGAACCTTCCCCAGATGGCATAGTCCCTCAAAAAGGTGGTTTAGCCGTTTTAATTTCCCGAATTTAGAAAATGATGACAGAAATATCCCGCCTGCATGGTTTGTTAAGAAGATATCGGGTTTATATAAATTCCAGAATGACTTGTTCATTATGTTCAGATGTACCTTCGTACAGAATTGAATGGATTATGTTAATCGACTTCCTTTTGCAGAGTTTTACATGCGATTCCCTCAAACGAAGCAATCGATACTGTTGAGGTCAGTTTTTGCTTCTAATATCTAGTTGCTTACAATTCAGGTTTTAATAAAACTCATATTCTTGATCTCGACCTTCGATTTAAAGAATCAAATATCATCTTTCCATACAAAATTTGGATAGGTACTGCAATCAAGAACCAATCCTTCGTTTGTGGCATGGCGGGGTGGAGCCGTAAGTCGATTCTAGCTTCATTTCTTTTTCATGTTTTTATCCACAAACGATTGATGTTTTGAAAGTTGATCTTTTCCAGATACTGGGCGTAATCGATTATGGTCGAGATGCTTGGATACATCGAGAAGACTGGATTCAAAACGGGATTCATATTGCGGGGGGCAGAAAATACAAGGATTCTTATTATCTCCAAGCACAACCAATGTGTTACATAAATTCCTAGAATCGTAAATCGCTATTTTCAGATCCAATGAAGCACTGTAGTTTGATTAATAACGAGTAACAAAATAAATTTCGATGGAGAAATATTGTTTAATGAGTTGTCCCACATCGGTAGGAAGGTAAGAAAATGAAAGATGGAGGATAGTATATGAAGGGAGGAGGGGTTATGTTTGAAAACTAAAAGGGTCGGTTGGCTAAATATGCCACGCTCGCCCACTGATTGGTGAGTGCTGTATGGCTATCAAGACATATGGCCGACATAATTTGTGGAACTTTATAGGGTTGGCTCCTTTTGGCCGATCCTTCAACCTTTTTAGTATTAATGGTAATTGCCTATTTATTACACTTGTTCATCAAGTGATTATTGATATTACTTTATATCATATCGATTGAGTTTTTAGGTAAGACCTTTATCGTGTGTGGAATGAGAGACCTCTGTAGTTGTGGGTAGTGATGGTTAAAAAGCGGTCCTAAGATTTTTCATAGTCAGTTATAATTGGTTTGACTCCGTTAAATAGATGAAGACCGTTAGGCTAGTTTATAACCGGTTATAGGCCGCTACCGACGGTGCCAACTGGTCACACCCCCAAAAAATATTTTTTTTATTTTTTTAATGATTATATTTTTAATACATTATTAAATTTGTCGTACGAATCACTCAAATACATTTAAAAGATACGTTTTATTACGAGAATTGTGAACGTTTTTTGCATTTTTTTTTGCAAATTGAGAGCTTGGTATATAAATCTCTCACCCTTGTTACATGTTTATAGTGTTAAAAGCCAAAAAATGCAAAAAGAATGGTCAAAAAACAGCTAGTTAACGGCTATATTTATCTAAAAAACGGTCATTTTTTTAATATTTCGGGCCGGTCCATGCTATAACCGGTCCCATAACTGGTCCCGGTCTCACAAATATGACAAAAACCATAACCGGATGTAACCGGCGGTCCCATAACCGGTCCTTACCGACCCTGGACTAGCCGGTTTGGCCGGTGTTAATTGCATACCTATGTCTATTTTCGTAACTTTATAAAAGAAATAGCTAAGAGATAACCTATCAGTCAAAATAACTTTTAATTAATTTTTCTATATTCTTTTCAAGATAAATATTTTGGTTGTAAAAAAAACATAACAATTCTTAATTTTCTTTTCAAACACAGTTTTTTTACAATTTTTTTGGTGATGTACAAGTTTTCTTGACATGTTCCTTGATTTTAAATTAATGGCAAAAGAAGGTGTGCAGGACGGTTTTGGCCACGTCTTCAAATTGCGAGGCAAAATCGTGTGAATCATATGTGATTTTGTACGTAATGTTAGTCTAGAATCACATGTGATTCAAACGGTTTTTTAATCTCTTAAATATGTATCGTTCTTGTTTGTACCTGACTCTAATTAATTAATGTATAAATTATTGAAGATGATTGTAGCATGTTGATCAATTGGATTATATGAAGAGGTTAATAATTCAACACAAATATTTCAAGGTTCTACCATTCAATTCCAAAAATATATTTAACGAAATTCTAAAATGCACTCAAATAAAGTTTATATCAACTTTTCTAGGAATTGGTTGAACAAATATGATTGAATCAGATTGCAAATGATGTATATTATTTAATGTTACTTTTTATAAATATTATTATGTTTGTAGTTTTTTAATTTTTTTAATTATAATATAAAAATATGTTTATGTTTTAATTTAATTTAATTAACAAATTAAAAACAAGATAGAAAAGTGAAAACTAGCAAAGTTAAATCTGAATTTTTTTATTATATATATATATATATATATATATATTAAATTATATAATAATCTAGAAATAAAATTATATTTTATAAATTAAAAAATAGAAAGTGAGGCTTTTGTAAAAACCTCCAATTTTGGGATGATCAAGACTGGTCGATGCAACGGGAATGAGATATTGAATGAAAGTCAATCGAAGAAACAAGTGATTTCCCTTTTTTTCGCTAAGGAAATTTGCTAACACTCTAAATGTAGCGGTCCTTATATATCATATTAAGTCAAAATATGTTGAGTTTTGTTGAGATTCTTACCTTGTTGAGGTGGTAGGAAAAAATATGGCAAATGAGGTTCTTAGAGGTTCCACCACTGTGGATGTTCTAAGTGCTTAACGATATTACTTATCTTATCGATTGAGCATGACAATGATAAAAAAAAAAAATCTTACTTTGTAAGAGGCATAATAAGGACCCAGAGTTTTACCCGGTAAGTGAAGGAAAAAACTCTTATCCGATAAGATCTTACCAGGTTTAAAACGTTTGCAAACAATTCATTTTTTGGTCATGTTACATGATAAGGTAAGTGAGTAATTTGCCCCTATATGTTCTCAGTTTGGTTGACAATTTATTGTATTGTTTTTTTTCTTTTTTTGTGGTTTACAATTCATTCCTCATATTTAATCATTGACGGAGATAGCTTCAACAACAAAAAATTACAAACCATATGAACAAATGCCATAATTTTAAAAGTATAAAATCGTAACATAATTATCTATTGTCCATCGTGAGATAACCAATTTCAACACCGTAGATTAAGATTTTAAGAGATTTCAAATGTCATTATGTTTCTTCTGATTGTCCCTTTAATAGATACATCAGCATTAAATACTTTTATCAGGTGTACACTGGACGATGTTACTCGAGTTGGTGTACGTGGACAAGATATGGCCTAGTCGTAACCTTCACTGATATTAAATAGTAAATGTTAGCCTCAAGGATGTTAGTTGAGTCAACATATGTAGCAACCTTAACTGGTATTAGTCCCTCTCGAAAAAATCATAATTGGAATTGGACTCACTTTTTAATATTTCAATAACTGAAAGTCACCGTATACTGATTATGATCAAGAATGTAAGAATAACACAGTAAGAATCAATCAAGAACACAAAATTGGAGCATGGAAATTATCATGTCATTGATCTTCACGTTTATGAGTATAAAGTTGAACGGGAGAAATCTATACAAATGAATTTGTAATGAATCGTATCAAGTATACAACAATCACTAACTACTCCTATTTATACTAGAACGGGAAAGATACGATTACAAGATTTACAAGGCAGACTAATTACATTTGGACACGTGTTCTAGTATAATAGAAGAAGTCTTTGTTTATGAGAAATCACAATTCGGAAATCTTCCAAGTCTCTAACTCTGAATTGCATTCACAGTTAGACTTCTCGAACTCTAAAAGACTTAACACACGAACTCTGAGTTTTGGACTTCAGATCTCTAGAAACATCTCTTCAGAGTTAACACTTAGCCATTTTTCTCATTCTTTCAAAACTCTGTAAAAGTCATTTCAAGGCTTACTTAACCAATTCGAAGCAACTTCTTTGAATTCACAATAACATCTATTAATATTTTATAAGATTTGTGTTTCGACTATTTTAAGCAATTTATTTTATAAAATACTTTGTTTGCTTCAATTAAATATCGTATTCGGCTGTGAGCGGCTCCGAAAAACGAGTCCTATTTAAATAAGTAATAAGCCCCGGGTTATAAGAATTTGATGACAGGCCTTCCATAGACAATGCCACCTTAAATCGTCTTTTCAGTGTTCATCTGACACTCGCTTGATTTTTGGGGTTTGAGGGTGCTTTCATATGCATGAACAAATATTGGTGCTCAAAACTAAATGGCAAAATGGTCCAAAAAGTTGTAATCATTGGCTTAGGTAACGGTCTCTTAAGTGATCCTGCATCAACAAAATTCTATGCATGTGTTAATTGTAGGATCAGAATTCGATTTCGGGTCTTATTGAGTCTAAATCGGTCCTAGTCCCAATTCATCTTTTCGTAACCGGTCCTGGTTCCGACCAAAATACCAAGGTCCAGTCTTTGTGCTTTGTAACCGGTCCCTTGAAGCGGTCCCGGGCTGGGCCCACATTGGTTCTAATTTTTTTCTTCAAAAATCAATTTTGAACGTAAAAAAATATCGTTTGAGGATTTTTTTTATTTGGTAATATCTTATTCAAATACACTTTAAAATCTTTAATTAGATCATTCAAATACATTTTAGAAATATTTTTTTAAATCTTTGTTATATAAAAATGTTATAGATGTTTTGTAGTTATGATTTTTGAGATTTAAAAAAAACTTGAAGTTTTTGGTAAAAACTTAAAAATCTTGTAGAAATATTGAAAAACTTGATATATAATTTATAAATACTTAATTTAAAAATAAAAAAACAATCAGGCCTATGTATAACCAGTCCTGGGCAGGCCTGGCCGTGAAATTTCCTAAAAATCATAATCGGTTAAAAACTGTCGACCTGTGTCCCAGGCTACACCCAATTTGCCATCTCTAGTGATAATAAGTCTCAATTTAAAGTTAAACCACAAGGGTGGTGTCTGATTGGTTTGAGCTTGGCTCCAATGGTCAAAAGTATCAGGAGATCTCAAGTTCAAATCCAATGAGGAATAAAAATCCCCTTGTGGCCACGGAGGTTCAAATACGGTGACTCCGGGCTATCTGCAAAAGCAGGTGGTCGCCCTGGGATTAGTTGGCTAGCATAGCGAGTTGGATATCCAGGTTAATAAAAAAAAATCTCAATTTAAATGGACAACGAACCTGTGTTTTTCTGGATGATATACAAAAATACGATGTCGTTTTGTGCCCAAAAATCAAAAATATAAGAGCGATTAAGAATAAGCATCTCGATGATGGAAAAGAATCCACGAATGAGAACAATCTTGACACACAAAATCTACATGTCTCAACTACAACAAAAAATTGTTTTCATGAAAACTGCATTCAATTTCTAAAAAATAGAACTTTCAATTATAAGTTATAAAACTATCAAAGTTTTAAAAAGTGTTGTAAAAACCATCCACTTTTAAAAACTGTTATAAATTTTAATCAATTTTATCAAATTTCTAAAAGTTTTTTATTCAAAATGACTCAAATTATCAGTTTTTTGCTAATTTATTCATATTTCATACTCATTTTGATTTGTAAGAGAATCTTGAACATATATTTTGCTCGATAAAGTCTCGGGTACCTTCTTTAAAACTTCAAATTTGGAGAACCCTCTAAAAATGATTGTTTATGAAAGAGAAATTGATTTTTTATTCTTTTTATGAATGGGAATACTTGAAATTAAATGTTTAAAAAAAATAATACTTTACAAATTGTATTGAATATTTTAATAATATAATTAATATTGTGAACTCCAAAATGGATAAGTTTTTTTTTTTTTTTGAAGTATTTAGTATTTATATACAGTAAATAGAACAAATAAACTCACACACCCTTCTCGCATTGGGTAAGGTTTGAACCTCTGATCTGCTAAGAGGCCAAATGCTCACATACCGCTAAGCTAAAGGTCATTTGGTTCCAAAATGGAGAAGTTGTTGGTGATTAAACTAATTCTCTTGGAAATTTTGAGTTTTGATTCTCTATATTGGAAAATCTGTTGAAGATACTCTAAACGATAGATGTTGTAACTATTGATAACATGATGCTAAGTTGTTAAATTATCTTTCGATTTCGGTGAAGGGTGCACGATAAGAGAATCGGTATAGTACGATGGAATTGCCCAATTATAGCTCGACGCGCTGCTTCAATGGCTCTAGCGTTCCCTCACGTCAAGGGCTACTTTTGCATCGGCTCTCTTTCGTGGTGGTGCTTCAGGATTCCAATGTACTGCGTCCAGCCGTGTAGGAAGACTCACCCTAGCCACTATAGCGACCCCACCCACTTTCATGCTTCGAATGAGAAGTTGCGCTTTCGATCTTGTTCTCAGCTCCCGGTCTGGTCCTTTAGGTGAGGCTCTTTACAGGGCGGTTCCCTTTACGGTTCAGGAATGATTACATAAAAGAAATTCATATATAAATCAACTGATATCGTGACTCATATATGTTAAAACCCGTTTGTCTGATAAAACATATACGAAATAAAAAGAATTAAAATACAATTTCATTAATTGAAAAAAAAATCAGTTTTACATTAATAAAAAAAAAAACCAAGTCAAGTTTAAGGTATCGATAGCAATGAAACACCATATGGTTTGATGAAATGACAATTTTATATATTTATAAAAAATTAAAGGGTATTTGGCTTAGCAGTATGTGAGTTTTTAACCTCTTAAAAGGTCTAGAGTTCAAACCTTACTAAAGATGAAAAGAGCGTGTGAGTTTATTTGTTTTATTCGACGTATATATATTTAAAAAAAACATACTTCTAAAAACTTTTAAAAATTATTTGGCTCAAGCAACTGTTTTATTAAAATAGAGAAAATAAAAGACAAAAACTACAAGGCCTTGTTTTTTTTTTTTTATAAAAAAAGCTCTTATTATGTTTGATTTATTAAGAAGTAAGGTTATTCAGACTGTTTGTTTTTTCCAATTTTTCAGAAACACTTATATCTTATTTTCTTCTTATTTAGTAAGAGATAAACTGACCTCTTATTTGTCTCTTCTTGTTTTCAAACCCTCAACAACGGCGAATCTCAATCGATTAACATTAATCAATCATTTCTCTCAATCGATCTTTACTAAATCAATCACCACATCTCTCAATTGATATATTTTAATAGGATTTAAATGTGTTAAACACCGTTAATAACATATTTTCGTTTAAATGAATGCTAATTATATAATTTAGATGTAAATTTCGTAATGATGATGAATAAATATGTTAAATTATATAAATTTATCTATAAATTCAAACAAAATAATTTTTTTAACGGGTAAAATAGACATGCAGACTATCTCATTTATACAATCAATACAACTCAATCAATTGAGGTATTTATGGAAATGCTGAGGACTAATTTATTGTGATATAGATATTTATGAAAGATAGTTATAGTTCATTAATTATGAATAATTATTTATATTAAGAAACAATCAAGATATTTATGAAACTACATATCCACTAGATTAAAGGGATTGTTGAGATTTGGTTGCAATGCTTCTATAAATAGGATAGATTGTATAGTAAACCACCTCTAAGTATGTGTGTGTGTGTGTGTACACACATATATGTATGCGCTCCATTGGTGTTAGTGGACTTTAATAACCAATAAATTGACTTGTTGGGTTTTAGTGGGTCTTATTGTGATTTAGTTGTTCTTATTGGGCTATAATGGGTCTTAATGTCTTATTGATCCCAATACACACCACATACATATGTGTATACAAACACGTAATAAGGGGTCGTTTACTAAACACTCACCCGGTAATTACTTACCGGGTAATTTTCCTCACCGGATGAACATGGCAAGGGCCAAGAATCTTACCCGGTAAGAACGATGATAAGGATGGAGAATCTTACCCGGTAAGTGAGGGTGACAACTCTTACTCGGGTAAGCGCTTACCAGGTAAATTGTTGCATGAGATACGTTTTGATGTACTACAATCTTACCCAGTAAAATAAATTATAGTGTTGACTCATAACGGTAAACACTTACCGGATAAACATTTAAGTAAACAGCCCCCAAGTCACCAAGGATCATAAAGGGTCTTATTGGGCTTTAACGGACCTTAGTTGACTTTAATAGATCTATTAATTCATTAGGCGTTATTTGGCTTTAATGAATTTTAGTTGAGCTTTAATGGATCTATAAGTTTAAAGGGTTTTATTGTGCTTTAATAGATCAGTTGAGTTTTATTCAGTCTTATTAGACTTTAATAAATCTTAGTTGACTTTAATGAATCTTAGTTGATTTTAATGGGTCTTAGTTAGAAGTGCTCATATGTTGGATTGATCGGGTTGAAGACATTTGAAAAATCCAACACATGCTTGCGTTTTGAAAAATCTCAATCCAACCCAAACAGTGCAATTTGGTCGGGTTGATACTTTTTGGTATATCAAAATAATTTCGTTTAATTTTTTTAAAATTAGATGAATTGATTAATTTATAGAATTTTTTAATAATATAATTTTTGTTTCAAATTGGTAATGACTAACATGGAAATTGTCAATAGAATGGGGTTTAATACAAAAACAATAATATTTTTATTTTTTAATTTTATATATTTTATTAAAAAGAAAGAACTACAGATTCGTTACAGAAGTTAAGAAGGTAAGACATGATCCTAAACAGTCTGGATGATGACAAATTTACTAATGACCGAAAGAGTAAGAGAAGAAGATGCCCTTTCGTATATGAAGAACTGACGTAGTTCTACAGATGGTTGGCGTCTAATTTTTCTAAGAAAGTATCACTCAAAATTTCTTTAAGAGCAAGTGGTTGCAGCATATGACAAATATGTCATTTTATAGCCATAATTACATTAAATGTTATTGTCCAACTTTAATGTGTGTCTTCATCTAATTTGATGATAATTACATGTTTGTACTCCTCATTTAAGATGCCGCAAAATGATGACCAATGATGGGGTGGACCATGTGGTAAGTACGGTAGGGTGTAACAATGAATACAAGATGACAAAACTGTTTGAATAAGTCAAGGGGGTGCTAATGGCACCCCTTAACACGGGTGTTGAATTTTGGGAATTGTGATACCTTTAAAATTTATAAAACATCAAATCGATTTAATAATATATTATATTTAATTATTATTAGTATTTAATATATATATATATATATATATATATATTAAGTTATATTATATAATT